CTTATTGTTGTTCTTTCCCCTTATTTTCTACAGAATGTTTCGCTGTAATTTTTTTAAAAAATGAAAACGGGGAAATTCTGTAGATGGTTTACCCCCCTAGGATATTTCATTTTGTGTGTGTCTGGTTGCCTTAAATTGGAAATGTGTTTATTGCTTTGTTGCATCTACAAGCCTCTTTTCTGGTACTCGGTACTACTTTAATTCCCTAAATAATATGTTTACCATTAGAGGTGTTTCCTGATCAAGGTCAAAACCATCTGGCCACTTAAGTACATTGCATGCAACCTTCTTGCATCCAATATCTGGTGGACTCAGTCTTAAAGAGAATTCAAAGAAACAAAAAAGGAGAGAATTTTAAATGGATTCTATAGCTGGTGAGTTTTTGTGCTGTGTGAGCGCACACACATACGCACATTGATACATGGTTCATTGCATCCTACAGTATTCAAACATGGGTGCAAATGTTTTAGTCTGCCATCTTTATTCAAAATGACACCCAACACCAAAACATCAAAGAAGACAGTCACCTTCACCTCATGCTGAGTTGGGTGGCAATATTTCAAGAGGTATTCAGGTTGGTGCAGTTACGACTCATCAATACCAAATTGGGCAACGGTGTCTTCAGAGCCATCCAAATTGGAGCAGGCTGGACCCATGATGCCAAATTTAGTGAAGGCCTTCCAAATGGTGTAACAATATCTTCAGTGGCTTCCAAATCAGAACATATTGGACCTGGCATGTCAAAAGTCATGCCAAAGTCACATTTTGGTCTGCCATCTTTATTCAAAATGGCACCCATGATTCAAACACTCCCACTGCAGAAACCCTTGTGCTAATTTTGGCAACAATATATTAAGAGCCAGCTGAATCTATCAAAAATGGTCAAAGCACTTTTTGAAATATATAGTAGAAGATCATGCCAAGTTTTCTCCAAAGTTGGTAGGAAAATATATTTTTATTTAGACAGGCCTTCAAATCAGACCATAAGCTGATTTGAAAACATGTTGCAATTGGTTTCTACTGCCTGTTTTATTGTTTTCAATTATGCTTTACCTGACTTGTTTTTATTGTTTTTTTACTTGTATTTTTATTGCTTTTTGAGGGAACTCCCTGGGAGGGTATGCTGACGGACTGCTGGGTGCTGAAAACTGCCCTTTCCACCTGTACAGGCCTGCCTGCTAAGACAGAAAATCACTTGTTCTCTAGGGAAGGGAGAGAAAATTGGTTCAGTTTGCATTTTAATGAGAACCTACCTACTTTGCACTTCCGCCCAAAAATTCATGAACAATGGCTTTTAATTCAGTCTATGACTGATTTCATCACTGTTCTATGAAAGTCAGGAGAGTTGTCAGCCATCACTATTATCTCATGTATGTTTCATGGACATCAATAAACTTCTAGCCTTTCTAGTCTTTCATTTTAGAAAAGGGGAGTAGAAAAGAGCTAGCACCATATGCCTGCCATTGCACCTTGGAAATGTTTCAGCTACAAAAAATAAATAAAAAAATCTCCATTTTAGGTCCACAGGTGCAAGCATCCCTCCCCCACCATGTTCTCAGTTGTTCCTGTATAATTCCACTTTAAGATAATTGAGTTGCCCAAGTGTAACTGAGGGCAGAATTTCTCCTTCAGGATCTTTAACAGAGTTGATGAAATATGAGCTAGAAATAACACAGCTTGAGTTTTAGATTCCATGCTGAGTTTACATGCCTAGCATTTAGGGCGGGGTGGGGGGGGAGATATATACTCATAAATTGAGAAAATGCACTCTGGAACTCATTGGGATTCGGTATATATTGTGCTCCGTGATATCAGTTTTACAGGCAATGTCCCCCCCCCAAGTCCATTTGCACTTGAAGCATTATTTGGTGGCTTGACTCTTCTGTTTTTCAGCTCAGCTTGATTTGCATTCTAACAGGGCATCTTTAGGGTCAGATCCTTCAGCATTCTTCAAGTCAACAGATGTAAGCCTTTTTAAGAAATTGGGCATAGTCCATGTCATAGCAATCTCTAGGTCATAATCAGCAATCTGCCTTGGGCAACTAAGGAATCATGCATTCCTGATACCCAGCAGCAGTTCAGGAGTCTAACCACAGTGCTCTGGATCAAATGAAGTTTCCCAACACTTCTCAAAGACAACACCATACACAATACATTACAGGAAAGAGGGACGTGGGTGGTGCTGTGGTCTAAACCACTGAGCCTCTTGGGCTTGCCGATCGGAAGGTTGGTGGTTCAAATCCCTGCAACAGAGTGAGCTCCCATTGCTCTGTCCCAGCTCCTGCCAACCTAGCAGTTCGAAAGCACGTCAAAGTGCAAGTAGATAAATAGGTACCGCTGCGGTTGGAAGGCAAACTGCGTTTCCGTGAGCTCTGGCTTCCATCACAGTGTTCTGTTGCGCCAGAAGCGGTTTAGTCATGCTGGCCACATGACCTGGAAAGCTGTCTGTGGACAAACACCAGCTCCCTCAGCCTGAAAGCGAGATGAGCACCACAACCCCATAGCCGCCTTTGACTGGACTAAACCATCCAGGCGTCCTTCACCTTTACCTTTTATGTGCAACTAAGGCATGCTGTGGCAGATATGACGTATCAAGGGATGGACAAAGTACCCACAGCAGTCTAAGCCATGCAAAGGCACCCCAGCCACAATGGCCACCTGTTACCACCTTGCTTCATCCAGGTAAACAGCAGTGACCCCATTATCAAGAGGATGAGTCAGGGCTACTTAGAAGACCCCTCTCCCTGCATCTGGTGCTTCCCTTTAACTCCCCCACCTCCTTCCTCTAACATCTGACAGCTGCTGTTCGCTGGCCCATCCAGTGGTGGTGCAGGATCAGTTCCTCTCCTGACCAGCCAGCATGCACTGGTGATGCTCTCTCAGGTCAGCCATAGCTCGGCTACTTGATGGGAGTGGTGCTCATTTTCCAAGCTTGCGTTGGCAGTATTCACCCCTGTGATACGTGAGAAGCCCTCTGTTACAAAGTCAGAAGGGACAGAGCACACCATTGTTCCTTCTTTTTAGAGGGAAAGATTTGTGCATGTCAAGAAATTGGGTTAAATAAATAGGGATCAGTGTGCAGAAAGCACTGGTTATTGCGTGTCTTCATAGGATACTTTTGAAAACAGTAACAACAGCAGCAGCAGCATTCCCCGCATGCTTCAATAGCAAGACCTTTAGGCTTTTTGAATGTTCAAAGTACAGCACCAATATAAAAATAATGCTACAAGTGTGTTGACATCTTGCTTGGCAGCCTGAGCTGCTTAGTCATTTTAATCAATGGAGATATGCACAACAGTTAGAAGTTTCCAAAGGTCAAAGAAGCGACTGTCTTTTCAGCTTTGAATCAGCAAAGATTTTCCAGTTTCTTGCAGACATAATGCCAAGCTTGCATCTGTGCGCCTGCCTTTTTTCTTTGCTTTGAAGAAGCAGAGTAATTAACTAAAGGGCAGATCACACCACATTGAGCAGTAAATGATTGCACAGTGCAACTTCCTTTCTGCTTTCTCTCTCCTATGACAGCCGGTTTCAGAGCAGCTCTCAGGCTGGTTTATATATAAAAATGGGCCAATGAGCATCATAGAACCATTAAACACTTAACTCATTGATTGTGAAACAAAAATCTATACAATAGCCCTGGCACAATTATTCCCTTCTGAAATGGGCCTTATTGCTAATACAGAGAACAAATAAGCTATGTAATTAAAGAGATCCTGAACTCTTCCAAAAGGTTTTTGTTTTTTGTTTTTTTTTGTTTTTTGGTGCTTTTGCATCATTATCAGCATTAATTAATTTGTTCAGGGTTTTAAAACTGTGGTGGCTTAATTTTTAACCAACGGCAAATTTTGTTGTAAGAGTGCCACTTAAAACCTTTAAAAGATCAAACAACAGCTGACTAGCCAAAGCTTCCCAATGTTATCTCTCGTTTTATGATGAACAATCTTCTATCGACTGCTTTTTATAAGTGCCCTTTTATAACTGGTTTGCATTTGTGAAATCCTCATTCATTTATTTTATTACTACCATTAATTATAATTTTGAATGTTAGTTTTGGAGGCATGAAGCTCTGTATGCATTGATGGGGCCTCCTGCTCCCCTCTTCAACAGCAAGCGGCATGGCTCTCCTGACCTCCCTCCATCTGCATTGCTGCTGCAAAACACGAAAGAACAAGCTGTATGGGTAAGGTGGCAGTGAGGTCAGCATGATGCAAGTGGACCAACAGGAACACCAGATTGGCTCTATCAGCACACTTGCCCCATGCAACCTTGCTGCCACCTCTCCTTCCCCTTCTCTGTCCCAGTCTACAGCAGCATTGCAGCCAGATGGAGGTCAAGTGAGCAGCATAGCCTCATCATACCAGTTCCTCTTCCTCTTGATGGTTCCCTTCTGTCCTTCTGCATACTGCTAAGTGTCACACAATGCATTTTCACGCTTAGACGGTTTGGTTACATACCCACTCATTCCTCACCCACTGCCATCCTTGGCAGCCACCTTTGTGAGTCACCTAAGAACAGGCAAAGGGAGTCTCAGATGCAGAGTTTACCTTCCATGTAGGCGAGACCCTTGACACCTCTCTTTCTGTAATTAGCAACTGCTTGTTCTGTTCTGTGCCCTAAATACACCTGAATACAATTGAGCAGACTACTTCAAATACAAAGCAGTGTTGGATTGTCAAATAGGTAGAGTTGGCCCTGGCCTATGGGCCCCACGCCATTTAGGGGCTCCACAACAACAGATCAAAATAATATTGATTTGATCTTGAAAGAAAATTACAATTAAGCTTTCTTAGTTCAATGTTACCTCACTAGAGTGTGTGCACAAGCCCACCTCACCCACTCCCGAGATTTTGACTGCCTAGGGACCTCCACAGGGTTTAATCCAGCACTGATACAAAGTATATAAGGCATTGACAAACAATGTGCACATTCATATTTATGGTAAGAGTCCATTGTGTTTGACTATGTTCATTGCATTGTCTTTCCTATCTCTGCCATTGCAGCTGCCATCCTGCGGTTGAAACCAGAGTGTCCACAAGCATCACAAAGCACCTCTACTTTGGTGTATATGCCATCCTTTCTGAACTTGGAAGGGGACACTGGTATTCCTGGGATCTGTGGTCTATTATGCTGCTAGTAGTTTTGCTCTGGTTTGCCCGACTGTATCTTCATTATTTCAGCCAGTGGGTCTTACTTCACGCTATTTCAGTTCCTGTCACGAAGTAAGTATGGAAATGAAGTTACGTTTTGGAAAACATAGCGCTATGCTACATAATGTCACAAAAAAAGAAGCGCAATGATGTTTGCATCACCTTTGGGTCTATAGACAACCAGCCACTCACTTACTTACTTCTCATTCATTTGGTTAATTGTGAAGATTGGAATGGTGGTGTGGACTATCTGTGAAATCTGACAGCAGATGTATCTTATAGGTATCTCATTCAGTCTCTGTCTTCTTCCCATGCTACTGAAAGGAAGACTAGCCAATAGGCAAAGAGCTTATAACCAACCCCTTATGGTCTGTTCTGAAACACACATTCAGGCAGCAAATCCTATACTTGATGTTTTGATATCTTTCACAGTTCTGGATTTTTTCTCCCTTTGGTCATGACTTTTGGTAAGTGTCATGACCTTGGGGCCAAACTCTCCTAATTCAGGGGATGAGACCAGGTATTTGGAATGAGAATGGGAATTGCCATCTGGTCCAGCCCTAGGTGTACATGCAAAGGTACTAGTACCTCTCCAGCCTGAGGAAGTCCTCTGACTCCAGCTTAGAAGCGCTAGTGGAACCACTATGTCAGAATCAATGACTGCTAAAGTAGCTGGGTCCCTTTAGTTCCTTTCATGGAAGATGAATCTGACTACTGAGATAAAGCTGCAGCTCCTACTTAAAGTTCAGTTTGACTATGACTGCTGCTGAAGCAGTATTTCAACTCTGCAGCCTAAGACTTGCATGGAGCTGTCCAGGGTTTCCACTGAAACCTTGCCTTGCAGGGTCACAACATACCACTGCTCAAAACAGAACTATAGGGCCACAGCTCCCATAGATCAGAATGTCTTCATGTCAAGGCTTGGGAGATAAATTTACTTACTCTGCTAAGAGAGGGGTGAAAGACGTGCCTTCTGAAAAGGCACTAGATACCTACATGGCCCCCACTGATTTCCAGGACATTTTTTCTGAGTGTGCCTTAAGAGGCATGTGTGTGTGTGTTAAAAAACCCCCACCCAAATTCTGTTCAGTTATGATTGCATAACAAATCCAGAGTTGTGTCGGTATTCCTCCACCTATAGGAGGTTCTTTGTTCCTGAGGATGCATGGAGTGAAAACACAGAGATGTGATTTCTGTAACATTCCCATTCTCCTGTGTCACTTTCAATGTCATTCTGAAGCTCCCCCAGCCCTCATAAGCAGATAAGAGGCCTGCAGAGGGAGAAATCACATTCCCCTTCCACTCTGCTGGATCAAAGCAACCAGTGTGGTGTAGTGGTTAAGAGCGGTAGTCACGTAATCTGGGTAACCGGGTTCGCGTCTCCGCTCCTCCACATGCAGCTGCTGGGTGACCTTGGGCCAGTCACACTTTGAAGTCTCTCAGCCCCACTCACCTCACAGAGTGTTTGTTGTGGGGGAGGAAGGGAAAGGAGAATGTTAGCCGCTTTGAAACTCCTTAAAGGGAGTGAAAGGCGGGATATCAAATCCAAACTCTTCTTCTTATTCTTCTTTCATCACTGGAGAGGCACAATGAGATACATCTTTCGGCTGCTTTCTTATTAAAATGCACAACATAAATAATTGTGTAAGTGATGTATACCCATCAAGTAAGATAACCTACCTGTCTCTCGAACCCTCTGCTCCCTCTTTTATTTCCAGATTCCAGTTCTATCCTCATACGGTGGATTTGTGCTACCAGAACTCTTTGGTACACACTAGTGAAGAGTTGGCCATGATTGTGGTGGGACCTTTGACCTTGAACACAGTGATGCTTCTTATGGTTCTGATGAGATGGGGCTGTCAGCTGTTGTTTGGCTCATTCCCTTCTTACTTGTCAAAGCTGATCATTGCTTGGGGACTGTGGACAATGCTAGACCCTTTGGCAGTGTTTGTAGTGGATGCCTTCCTGGGGGTAAGTCACTTAAAATAACTTTGATATGAGTCCTTGATGTAAAAGTTTGTTTTCTTCAATGACTCATCAAATGATATGAAATTCCACCCCTGGCGACAGCATACAAAAGTCATCTTCTTTCCCCCCCAAAAAATAAAGAATTAGAAAATTTTATGTTATTAATCACAGTTTTGATGGTAAGACATATGATCTCCCTTCTCCCCACTGCTCCCCAATAAATAAAACTAAAACCAAAACCATAGATTTTTAAAAAACTTTAAAGTGAAATGCTCCGATGATTGCAGCAACCTTAGAGATGACGACAATATCACAGGAAAGCTAAGGAATATTTTTAAAGAAATGAACTAAAAATAATGTAGTATAACTTCTCTCTCCCAACCCCCTCCCCCAAAGCAATAGCTGCATGGCATAAAATGTGTAGAAAAATGTGGGTTTTTTCATTTTTAATAAAAACTTTGACAATTGTGATGCCAAACCTTTGCTCTCATTCATGTCTACAACTTTTTCAGGCATTATATTGGTACTGCCTTTTTGCAAGTGGGGAAGTAATGTTCTATGCACAATGCCACTGGATAGTTGTATGGAGGGCCCGGTTGTGCTATTACTCCCCTCTCTTTTAAGGGAGAAGGAGCATAGAAGTGGGCACTAATTGCATGAGGTTGTGGGTGCATCTGCTCCTCTACTATGCAAAAAGGAGGTGCTCCCGAGGCAATATGTGAACTGAAGCAAAAGTAGCCCTTTCCAATGCTTTTAGGTGGAAGAGAATTGGCCAGTGGAATGGACCAAGCTTGGATGGCTTTAGCCCTAATTTACACATTACTCATGTGCAAAGCACTCAGTTTCAAGCTGCACCAAGGCCTCTCTTTTCACATGCACAACCATTGTTGTCCTAGACACTGGTGCCCTTTTGGGATCAGTATGGTGGGAGGCAAGGAGACCAACAGTAAGTGGAGGCAGCTTCTAGTTTGGTCCCCATCCTCCACCCTGCTCAGTTTTAAAAGGGCAACCCTGAGACTAAGAAGGAGGAAGCTGACTTGCTGTCTCACCCCCTAGTCTGGTTTTAAGTAAGAAGGCAGGCAGGTAGAGATTGGCTTAGCGCAGGCTGAGGTTGGTGGGGCCGTGATCCAGTCACCTTAATGGATCAACCTCCATGGGCACCACCACTTTCCTCCAATGACTGCAAGTTGTTCGCTTATTTGCACCTTACTTCACAAAGTCATGTGAAGTATGAAGTCCATTTAAAAAACCAATAAAATGATAAAAAGTCACCTAAAACAGCATGGAATGTCCATGCCTTCCATGTAGAATGAACACCAAAAACTTGACCAGCAGCACTGTCCAAATGTCCAGGAGGATAAAATATGTATCTGCATGATGACACCTGGAAGATGTGAAAGCAGGCCTTTCTAGGGAGAGTATTCCACATGGAAAGGGCTACCATGGAAAAGACCCATTGTCTTGTTGAGCATGGCTGTCTGTCTGGGGACACCAGGCTTTGTGCAAACAGTTGCTCATGCACAGATGCTCCACATGACTGGAACATCTAACCATGGCTATTTTTGAATATCTGCTGGCACAAAGGAGTACCAGCAGCTACTCAAAGGGCAGAACTAGCACAGTAGTTTGGGGCCATCAAAAAACCCCAAAACATTCTTTGTCAAATTACTCGGGGAAATACTAGGCCACATCTTTTCAAATTGCTGTTGATGTCAACAGGCCAGGTTTCGCCCTATAGATATTGTATTTGCTCAAACATGCATTAAACACTTAGCAGAACATCAGAGCCCCTGCTTCTGGTTAAAGAAAATGATGAGATGAATTTGGATAAATTGCCATCCTCTACAGCAAGTTCAGGCAGAAACAGATCTGAGCATTGAATGTCTGTGACCACTTCTAATTTGACTTTGATAAGAGAAGTTATGAAAAATACATCCTGCTCTGCGTTGAATGTTGCCAATATTTTCCACCAAAACTACCCGCACAAGGAACGCATTTGACTGAATGCCACGCAAAAGGGGCATATCCCATTTCAGAATGAAACCGAATCCCTTACATGTGTTTTCCATATTTGTACTTGCAATTTTGCTTCCCGCCGTTGGCATTCCTTCAGCTGCTATTTCAGATTTACTTGCCAATCAATTTATTTTAGATCAAGCATTTTAAAATGTTATGTTGTGGTAATGTGACATGAGTTATTTTAATGATCTAATATCTTTTTTAAAAATTCTAAGTGGACTTAGCGCTTATGAAAGTTGACAGATTGATAGCCCTGGAAAATAGGGACCCATGTTGATTCACTTTCATTTTTAAAAAATTATTATTAAAGGGGAAAGTACAGATCACTTGACAGTGCACTCAAAAAACAAAACAAAGAAAAGCAATGACATGTGATAATAAACAGTGTGAAGCAGAAACCCTTTCCTGCAAATATCTGAGGTTCTGTTTCCTCCATAAATAATTAGGCGCCAATGTGATTATATAATATTGCTTGGCTTTATTCTGTATATTCTGTTTTATAGATTATGTTGGAAAGCATTCTGGGACATGTAAAATCAAGGGTGGCCCATAAATAATAAAATAAAGAGAATGATTGGTTTTGAAAATGCAGGCCCTCCAAACAGGGCCAAGGCAAAACTTGGCAGGTCAGGAATACACCTAAGATAGAATCTAGTGGTTCAGAGGCTGAGCCTGACAGAATCTGTACTGGCTTTTTAGGAGGAGTGGGGCAAAAGTTCTCAAATCAGTACAGTGGTACCTCTGGATGCGAACGGGATCCGTTCTGGAGCCCTGTTCGCATCATGAGTAGAACACAACCCGCGTCTGCTCAAGTCACGATTCGCCGTGTCTGCGCATGCTGCGCATTCTGAGCATCAGTGCATGCGCGAGTGGCGAAACCCGGAAGTAACCCATTCCTTTACTTCCGGGTCACCGTGGGATGCAACCTGAAAAGATTCAACCTGAAGCAAACATAACAAGAGGTATGACTGTATTTGCAGTGGTTAAAGAGAGGGTGAAATTGCTCCCCCCCCTTTTGTATGTTTGTAGTGTGATTTGTGACACTCTCCCAGGAGTGTCTCTCCCCAGGTGGGGGTGGAGCTGCAGTAACAGCCTCTCAGCAAGGGTGTCGCTACTGCTTACAGGGAGGGGGAGGCACAAGCTCAGGGTGCACTTCTGGAGCCAACTGTGTACTCCTGTCCGTGCACCTGGACACACCTGCAAACCACTGTAGTCAGTGCAGTCCTCTGCAACTCCTCTGGCCTCCATTTGGCTGCTATTGACATTTCCCCTCCTGAGTGCCATGCAGTGATGCTACATCACATCGGTGTGTCATTCTGGGGGTATTCAGGGACAGTGGAATGGCACATGCCAGCAAAACGAGGCTAAAATATGGCTGGTGGGGGTCACCACCTGACCACCCTGAAAATCACTGAAAGGGCCCTTCTTTTCGTGTTCTGTAAAGTGGCCCACAGGGGTGAGATGGGGTTGTTTTGGCCTTTAGGCCATTGTATTGGTTTTCAGACAGAATATAGTTTCTTTTCAAGTCAGACCATTGAAATACTGAGTGGTCGAGCTCATAGCAATTGCACAACTTCTCAGTCCTAAATATGGACAACTCCTCCAGCAACAGGTGAGAGAAACCACCTACCACAGTGTCATGTCATTTTAGTGTTGCTGTCAACCTTTAACTATCCCTGTGAACCACCATGCACAATGAAGTAGAAATGATAACACCACGATTACCATTGATTGATTGATTGATTGATTGACTGACTGACTGACTGACTGACCTTCTTACTATGCGCTCTCTCTCTCTCTCTCTCTCTCTCTCTCTCTCTGTGTGTGTGTGTGTGTGTGTGTGTGTTTCTCAGCGTCTTCACTATGCTCCAGGCAAACCCATTGCTGACTGTGCGAAGATGTACTGGCTTTTTTTAAGAATAGAAGAATCTGGCATTCTGGGCATATTGATTACCCTACTGCTTTACACAATGCTGTTTCTCATTTCGTCTACATCCCTCTACCTGTATTTAATGAGGTAAGCTCTTCTTTCTTTTTCACCATTTCAAAATGTAAGATTCTTCCCTCTGTACCCAAATGGCCTGCCACGATTTCATCAAACAAAATGCCACAAGATGCTGGATTTGGTGTAGCAAATGTACTGAGAGAGAGAGAGCTTCTTAAACTTGCTTTAAGATCAAATTCAGGCCTGTAAACAGCTATTTACCTGGAGTGAGTAAGAATAACAGCCACAATGTGCTTTTCCCTCCTGCCCCATTTCAGGCTACTGATGGCCTGCAGGAGGGCTGTGAAACATGTTGTGGACTAATACTTTTGGGGGCTAATTTAGGGGACTATTCAAGCCCCAGCCATCAGCCAGCTGGGGCAGAGGTGGGGGGCCAGGATAATTGCTGAACCAGCTTGGAACTGGGGTAGTAGTCAGGCCCACTGACATCATGCGATGGTACGGGGACTAGCTCAATATCCAGTAGACCTCTACCCAATTCCAGAATGCCACATTTCATGATCATGCTAGCAGGACTTCCACCTGCCTGCACATTTAGTAGACAGAAGGGGAAACTGCACTAGCTCTGCCCAATCCAACTCTCCTCCACCTCGGTGCAAGGGGGTGGGTTGGATTTATAGACTGCTGGACACAGAACTAGTTACGAATACTATTTGGGTTGTACCCAGCTAAGACACACTCAGAGTAGACTCACTGAAATCAGCTGACTAGTTGCACCCACTGATTTCAGGGGATCTTCTCTGTGTATGACTCAACTGGATACAATCCTTTGTCCATTTGTATGTATGAAATGCAAACAGAGCCCAGATAGCGAATCAACCGTGATCCAGTTGTAAACCAACGGGGATAATATCAGTGCAATTGATGAGTAAGGCCTGTTCACCAAAGCTTATGGCAAGTGATTTGGTGCCTAGATTTTGCTCATAAATAACAGTCCTAAATTGTCCTTATTAGGTTCCCATTGACCTGAACTTCCTTTTTTAAGGTGGGTGTGGAACTGTGCATGGTTTAACATTACATGAATGTTTCTCTCTCTTTCTCTTCATTGAAAGTAGAAGTAGGATGGGGAGACTCAAGAGTGGAACCCTTGCACAGATCAGCTCTGGTGAAAAAAAACGAAGCCAATGCTAATATAAACAGAAACGTGTGTTCTAGCTAAACAATATGAATATATTTTTTCAGACTGGCAAATGAGATTGCTAGAGATGGATAGTTTGCACACAAGTAAATCATTTCTGTCTTTATATTATCAGAAGCGCCATTGTATCAAGCGGGGCGGGGGGAGGGAATACGCAATTTAAAACCCTACAAAGGGAATTCAAATCTTCTACATTCCTGCAAGCTGTACACAAGTCCAATGTACTGGTAGTCTAGTTAATTAGTTTTTGAGATGTTAATGCCTTCTTAATCATTGACTTAATAGTTTCGAATGGCTTCATAAGTTTTAGCTGCTGTCGTTTATTACTCAGGAAAATTAATTTAAATTAAAACATTTGTAAGGCAGATTTTTATGAGAATATTATGAACATCTTCATTGTCTGGGGAACAGGTGTGGGATCATCAAAGATTCTTTCCCTTCTGGATCAATCTTTGCATAATGTTTTACAATAAAGGGAAAAAGGTACTTCATTGGGACAATGCATCTTTTAAAATTCTTCATAACAAAATAATAAACCAAAGCATGCATGACAAAACTGGTTACATTACAGAAGCTTTCCCAAGCATTTCGCTCCGTGGAAGATACAAAGCACACAATATAATTATACCTGGATTTTTAAAAAGAAACACTTTTGTTTTATTGTGCACGGAAATGTCTATTGATAAATGCATTTCTGAGTGGCTACGGAAGTATCTTGTTGCACATTAAGATATTTAGGCTTAATGTGCTCATAGACATTTTTGTATGCATCAACTTTGCATCTTTTGCCCATTTACACTTCAACACAAATCTCACTGAAATGCTTTTTATACATGAAATTAACTCAGGACTTGCAAACTTTACCTGTTTTGGATGGCAAATAACCAACTGTGGAACTGATCCATCAAAGCTACTTCTGTTGATTATTTACCAGATTTGCCTCCCACAGGCGAGAATGAAGCTGATAATTAAGGCTGCAATCCTATGTGTAGTTCCTCAGGAGAAAGTTCCATTGAACTCAATGGAAATTACATCCAAGTATATATAAACAAAATTGTGCCATAAAATAGAACAAAACCAAGATCCTTCCAAGAGTTTAGTTCCTCTACAGGTCTAGGTAACCTTGACAAAGGTTAGTTGAAAATCAATTAGGATATTAAAGATCAAATGGAAGAGAATGAAAGACATATGCAGATATGGTTCAGCTTAATGAAAAGGGTTCAACATTTCTGCTTCCAACCATAATGATGTGAGTGAATGAATGAATGAATGAATACATATATCTGCCTGACTTAAGAACTTTAGTCAGGTTTCCCTACTCCAGTTATCAGGGAATGGGGTTCCAGTTCTCTGCGTGACTTATTGACTCCTTACAACTAGAAAAAGAACAAAAATTTTCAAATTTGGCATTTGTATAATTTTGATGTGATTCATTCCACAGAGATGATAGGTTTTAGCCAATGAAGGCAGAAAACACTGGGGAGAGCATTTTCCAATCAGGGAGCCACAACTAAGAAGGCTCCCTGAGAGATTTTGTGAGTTATCATCTCAGTCCTTGCCAGAGACAGACAGGACTCATCACCATCATAAGCTTCATGAGTGGTTTTGTTGGTCATACATTTTTTAAAAATTGAATTTAAATAAAAGGAATGAGAAAAATAATAATATGGGAGCTAGGTATTTCTCTTCTTTTGTTTGATGTGGTTCCTACTTCAGCGTACCTGTTTAAACTATAATACTTCATTGTAATATTGATTCCTTATTTTCTTTTTTATTTGTCTAGATTTTGGCAGTATAACTTTTACAGTAGTGAAGGGTTCTTTTTTCTGCATTTCAGGATGCACAATGAAGGCTGGTTATTGGATATATTCAAAAGGATTCAGAGTGATGAGGCAACTTTATTTGTTCCATTTGACTTGGAAATCTCCAACCAAGAGTTGAGCTACATTGTGAAAAAGGCAGAACAGTGGAGAGGAATCAATGGTGAAAAACGAAAAGTGAGTAGAATAATATACCATCAGAGCTTTGCCTCATGTTGGTTCAGGGGTATCTTTAACTTCTTCTTTTTTATTAAAAAGTTGATTCATCTTTGAATGATATAGGGATGTTTGAGGAATTCATTTGTTAATTCTGGTATGAACTGACCCGATCCACATACCGTATTTACTCAAATGTAATGCACATTTTTTTTGGCCAAACTATGTTGCAAAAATTAGGACGCACATTAGATTTGATGGTGCCAGCAAATACTTTTTTGGTTTCAAGGTTTCGAAAGTTGAGGTGCGCATTAGATTCGATGGCATATTAGATTCGAGTAAATACAGTAGGGTATCATGAAAGTTCAGAAACTGGGTTTATAAATTAGTCAGTGAAATGTCCAGTATTAAGACCAATGGCATTAAAAGGCATGATGAGGACAAGCTGACCACTGAACTGACTCTGGGATCTGATCAGGGAGAATCACCTAAAGGCAGTTATCAGGAATCAGGACATGGGAGAGGAAACTGGCTCAAGGAGGCCACTTCATAGTCCACTTACTATAGATCAACATACACTTACCTGGTCGTAAGTCTAACTCACCTCAGTTGGACTTTTATCTGAGATGCACTGGGCCACAATGTTAATGTAGTTAAGTGAACCTGCGAAAGGTTTCAGTTTTCAGGAAATCCCCTAAACACGTAGACCAGCCCAGAAATTTGTTGGTGGGTTAGGTGGGGCAGTGACATTTCCATCATTTGGCTGGTTAATATGGAGGCAGTGGGAGTGAAAAACTAGTAAATGTGGGGATTCTGTCTAATAAAATAGCACTGCAGCTAAAAGGATGCAAAGTCTGTAAAGCTTTAACTGAGAAAGATCAGCAGTTTGTATAAATATATGGCCTCACTTGTCACTGCTATAAACATCTGGTGCTGTTCTAATTATTTTCCAGTTTCTTTCTCAATGAGAGTTTTGACCCTGGAAAACATAATAAAAAGGTGAATGTGTCAATTGAACAAGCAGATACTGTACACTTAGCCGTTTGTGAAGTCATTAGTGCCTGAAATTCTCCTTTGTAAATTTGGGTGCTTAATATTCTCTGAATGCTCTCTCAATGCTCAAATACTTGGTGAATATTTTAGTATTTGGAATTTGAAGTCCATTGATATCTGGTTTAAATGTTTAATATCTGACCATCAACATTTGTGGAAATCAGCATTTGTCAGTATTTAGCACCTGGTATGTAACAGGAGATTGTGGTAGTTTTCAAACTTTCTACCTTCAGGGGAAATTTTATCTTTAGGAAATGCTTTCCACACATATTTGCCTGACAAAGGACTTCAACCTCTTTCAGAATAAACTCAGTATGCACTCAGTTCACCATAAGAGCTTTCTAGGAAAGATCTAGGAGATTACAGGAAAGTTCAAGGATGTCCATATTTTTAAGAGAGGAGCAAAATGAAGCCAGGAAGTTCAAACCCAGTCAGCCAACTTTAGTTTAGTTCACAATACAACCACTGGGTTGCATCCAACTATGGATGTTCATTAATTTCTATGGATCTACTCTGAGTAGAACTAGCATTAGCTACAGTTCAGCATCTGTCATCTGAAGGGCAACAAAATCCCCAATAAGGACCATCTTCTCTTATTGAACCAATCATATTAAACCTTATTTCTACTTTGTATGTAATGATAGTTCTGTGAGTGGTATATATTAGTGATGGGCAAACTTACCTTGTCACAATCCAAAAGCCTGCAAAGAAGGCATCATGACTTCCAGGACTCACAACCATGATGGAAATTTGAAAGAAATTCTGTTAGAAAATCCATCTCAGATGAACTTTCCCCAGAACAGAGCACAGCTCTGGAACCTTCTCTAGTCTGAAGGATGAATCTATTTACATCATTACAAATCTATGGACACTGATCTTGACCTTTTCTGTTCCTTCCTTGTATTTATTTTATTGATTTATATCCCATCCTTCACAGCTTCCCAGGGCAGCTTGATTATTGTGCTCAATAATGCATGACTAGGTCTTATTTGGAAGCAATCCATTGCATGATGTTCCTGAACAGATACTGTGGAAATCTGTTTCCGGAGCACTGGAAAGCACCGAGGTGAAATCAGGAAGCAAAGCTCCCATCAGCATCCACCGTGTTCTCCCTTTTGTTCACATTCCTTCTTTGGATCCTTCCCTTCTCTGTTCCTTGAGATCCTCCCCTAATACCAATGCAGTTCTTGCAGTGCTGAAGCAACATCTTGTTTTGGAAACCTTCCATTGCTGTTGCTGCAGCAGCTTGTGCCTCCCATAATAAGGTTCCCAGGGCAGCTTCTTAAGGACAGGAAACCCCTCCCTATTTTGGATATCCTTGTTTACATATAACACCTTTATTCTCTCACCAAAGTAAACTTCATAAGACACACAAAACACTCCACATCACTGCTGGCATCAGGGTGAGGACTTGCCCAGCAATGCACAACTTCAATGGCCACAGCCCTTCCTCTTTTGCCCTCAGGAGGAGCCTGCTTTTGATTCTATGCCACACTTGGCTTGTTGGTTTGGCTTCCTCTGCCCTCTCAGACTTGAGCCCCCTGATAAGGAATATTGATGGTGCTGACAACACATTCGCCCCCTAGAATTGGTGCACCTGTCTACAGGTAACAAAAGAGGCCACTTCCTTCCATGAGAAACAGTTGGCTCTGGAGTGCTGAACAAAGGCTGGTGGATTTTAAGCCAACACAACACCAGTAAGGGGACTGTGGGTGTCGTGGGCATAAGACCAGCTTAATTTATATATTAAATATTGGGATTTGGCTGAGAGTGGGGTGAATAACTGCCAAATCTGAAATAGAGTTAGGCAAGGACTAATCAATGGAATGTGAGCAAGCAATTAAGTAGTTCAGGCTGCAATCCTGTGCACACTTACCTGGGAGTCAGTCCTATTTGATCCGATTGGACTTCTGTATAGGGTTACACGTCATGCCTTGTTGATTTCAGTGGGATTCGGTGTCTCTGAATTATTTCTTGTCCTTATCTGCTTGCTTCTGATTTTTATTCTCTAGATTTAAAAAATTGCCTTGTAACGGCATACTTTAAAATATGCTTAATTTCCTTTTATTAAACTGATAAATGCAGCAGTCGAGGATACATTTACAGTATAATGAGAATTTAAGGCTTTTCTATTTCATAATTTTTACATTGTTCAGACAAGCAATTTGTCATTGGCAGAAAGACAGCCATACCATAATTTTCAAAAGTATTTTTAGCCATCCATTAAATAGGAAAAAAGGTCACTTTCTGTAGTCAAGAATCACTCTATTAAAGTAATTTGCCAACATGCAAATGTTGTCACATTCCCATCATTAAGTATTTATCAAAAGGGGTTCTTTAAAATTTTTAAGAGAATATATATTAATAAATGGGCAGCTAGCAGCTGGAACTGGAAGTCATATTTTGCAACTCTAATGTTTTTTACATCCTTAATTAGATAGCATAAGGTTGATATGATTAGGTCAGGATGAAGTGTTTTTCATTAAACCAAATTTTAGAAGTTGTATTCATGATTCACCCTTGCAATTAAATAATGGGACAATGAATTTTATATCATTGACCTAATTATTCCCCCATGGAAATGTATACATTTAATCAATGTGTGCCTTAGGACCTTCATTAGCAACAATGGGATAATAATATTTTGAAGTACATAGATTGCATGTCTACAAATGTATTTGTGTTCTAATTGTTGGTGAATGAGGTGAATATTGAATGGGATTTCAGTTCGAGACCAAATTCATTTACACTGTAATTGTCCTCATGCCTACTCAGATGTAAGTCCCACTGAGTGCAATGGAACTTAGTCCCAGGTAAGTGTCTGTAGGGTTGCAGTCTCACTGTGATGCATATCATGGGGTAACCCTAGACATATATGACCGCCATTTGTCACCGTGCCTGAACTGTGGCATTTAATTCCCCATTCATACATAATCATGTCACATGAAAAGTACTGTAGCTAGGTTGTCTACCATTTCCCAAGGCTGTTACAGGTATCGACACCTTGAACAGTGACGGGGAACCTGTGACCCTCCCAATGTTTTTGTTGTTTAGTTGTTTAGTTGTGTCTGACTCTTCGTGACCCCATGGACCAGAGCATGCCAGGCACTCCTGTCTTCCACTGCCTCCCGCAGTTTGGTCAAACTCATGCTGGTAGCTTCGAGAACACTGTCCAACCATCTCTTCCTCTGTCGTCCCCTTCTCCTTCTGCCCTCCATCTTTCCCAACATCAGGGTCTTTTCCAGGGGGTCTTCTCTTCTCATGAGGTGGCCAAAGTATTGGAGCTGTCCAGTGAGCACTCAGGGCTGATTTCCTTAAGAATGGATAGGTTTGGTCTTCTTGCAGCCCATGGGACTCTCAAGAGTCTCCTCCAGCACCATAATTCAAAAGCATCCCATTATCCCTAAATACTGGCAAAGTTGGCTGGGGCTGATAAGTGTTGAAGTCCAGCAACATTTGGACTGCCACTGCTGCATACTTGGACAGAGAAGGGAAGGACTGAGGCAGTGGTGCGGTCAGGGTGCTGCAAATGCACTGGTGGCGTCAAACCGGTGCTCCTGCTGGCATGTTTGCACCATGCCAAACCTTGCCGCCATCTTGACTTCTCCCCGTCTCCATTCTCATATGCAGTTGCACCTTGGCTGAAGGGAAGTCAGGCCAGTGCATGCAGCTGGATCCTAAGCACTTTTGTTGGAACCGAATCCCATTTGGTTCCACGGAGTTCCTAGTAAGTCTTATCATATAATTTTCTTGGGAGAAACTTTGCCCAATGAAAACACTGAGATGAACCTGAAAATATCAGTGACTCAATTCAAAGCACAAGCTCTTCATGTATGCAGAATTTCCAACTCAGTTTCTTTGAAATCCTTGAACGATATGGCTTGAACGTTGCCTCCTCAAAGATAACAGGACAATTGCTCCTGGAAACGAGACTGATTCATGAGACTAGGGCTAATTTTCTAATTCTA